CCTCTGGATGCGAAGGGGGTGCCTTTGCACACCATCTGGCAAGCCAGACCTCCTCCCTCCTGCTGTTCTGCTTCCCTGCAGCTCCCCTCAGCCACTGGGCCTCCTGCGGCTGCCCTGGTGCGGCTGCCCTGGTGTGCCTGCCCTGGTGTGCCAGCGCTCCAGAACTGAGTGGTACTGTTTGGGAGGGCGGAACTCACTCAGACGTGCAGAGAAGCAAATACAGTGGGGAGCCCTTTTAAAAGAACATCATAAACACTACAGGGCTATTTTAAAGGTTCTTAAATTCCTGGCCAGCAGCCCACCTCCGAGAAGTACACCCTGTCCTGCAGTGGCAGAGAGAACATCTCCGGAATGCTGGTGTCCACGCCACGCAGGGCTCCCCCCTCCGAGAGCACTCCCAGGGCACAGCACAGCCACACTGGCCACTCGCTGTCCTGGCTCCCCAACTCGAGTGACAGGCTCACTTTCTCAGTCAGGGCTGGCAACAGGGCTGAGCACAGACTACTCGAAAACACTGTTCCTGAACAAGACGATCCTGGCCGTTTAAAGGACGGGCCACACCATTCAGAGTCACTGGACTGCTGTGCACAGAGGAAGACACTGTGACTGAGGAGACTGGTGTCCTTCCACTGCCTGCTCCAACAAGTCCTGTAACAGCTGCAGAGCTGGACCTGAGTGGGGGCGACAGGCAACACACCCCTCCCTCTTTTTTAAAATCAACTGGTCTTCCTCGAGGAGGAACTAACTAGTGCCGCACTCACCCTCCCTCCCCATCTGGCTGACTGCGGTTCACCGGTTCACCGGTAAACACGGCTGAGGAACCGTGGCTCCAGGATGCCTGCCCTGTCCCTACACGACAGGACGAAATGTCGTGCTTTTGGCCACCGCCCCCAGTGGACAGCTAACTCCTGAAGGGTAGGAACCACGCACTGGGCTTCACAGCATTTGGCAAAGTGCTTGCCATGGAGCAGGCACGCGACAGCATTTGTCGGAATGAGTGTATGTGTGTGTGTGTGTGTGTGTGTGTACACGCATCCCATGCAGTGCACAGATTAGGCACGTCAAGATACATAGATCTGGTGGCTCAAAACCAACAAGGAAAAATTTGTTCCTGGATCACTGAGCTTCCAGATGACTCTATCCCTTAAAACCCCAAATCCGATTTGAACATTTATTTAGGAAACAGACTGCTTTTTGAAAATATTTGGCATTGGTCTTTGCCTTCTAAAACACATATTTTTTTAACATTTTGATGATTCAGTCTTACTCACAAATACACAATTATTATACTACACCACCGTTTAATGCAGAACTTCAGAAAATCCTGATCGCTTTTGGAGATGCAGTGAGCAAGTGAGATTTTCCTAAATTCTTGGAACCCATCTTAGAATAGTTCTACCTTCATTAACAGCTGTATCATTTTGCATTCTTTTTAAAAAACTGTGGTTTTCGATATGCTGCTGGCTTATAATATTTGAAGTAAAATGAGAGTTTTTCTCAGAACGCACTGGAATCTGGCTACTGAAAGGTCATCCTTATCGCCTCGTCACTGTGCTGGCAACCTGGCAAAACCACACAGCCTCCCAGGCGTCTGGGCCGCTGACCTCCAGCTCGAACCCCACTTCTCCCATCAGCCCCTCCTGAGGGACGAGCAGGGCCACCCCCACTCCTCGCAGCCACACCCTCCACCTCGGTTCCTGCACGGAGCCCAACGTATTTTAATTCTCTCTTTACCACCTTCTCTGCAGAACCACACTGGACACTTCCTGAGACAGGTGTCTTTTCTTACTCCAAGGTCTAAGGCTGGTGTCTAGTAAAGCATTAACGACTTTTTTCATAAGTATGCGAAGCTATGTAAAAGTGAAAAGATAGCCAGAATGATTCAATACAACTGACGTGCTTAAAAAAAGTGACCACTAACTATCAAGATTAGACAGAAACACCCAAGAACATCAATATGGGTTAAGTGGCAAAGTATTAAGCTTTTTTTCACTTCATTATAGTAACTGACAATGCAGAAAACAAGTGTCATCTAGGTCCTTTAAAGCTCATAGAAAAGCATCAGGAAGCATCTTACCAAGGGGGTAGGGGAAGAGAAAGAACCTAGAGATTAAAGGAGACTTAAAAACTTATCAATACAATGTACTGTGTTTGGATCCAGGTTCAAACAAACCAACTGTTATGGGGGGAGGAGGCAGGAATGACGAAATGTGAATGAACATCAGAAAAATTTGAATATGATCTAGTTTTTATGATATTAGGGAACTGTTCTTTGTTTTCAGGTGTGGTACCTGAAAACAAGTACCCACAAGGGCACTGTGGTACAAAAGAGTTAGATGAGCTAACAAAATGCAAGAGCTACACACTAAGGTATTTATGGATGATGCTGGGATTTCTGTCAAAATAACGGGGTAGTGACGGGCGTAGGAGAAACAAGACTGGTTGTGTGGCAATGGCTGTCGAAGCCGGGTGGTAACTGCATGTGGCTTCATTATATATTTCTTCTCTACTTTGTACATGCTCAAAATTTTCCAAACAAAAAAGGGAAAAAAGAAGGAGCCGCAGCAGCAGCAGCAGCAGCAGCAGCAGCAGCAGCAGCAGCAGATGTCCTGTAAATTCTATGGTTGGCCATAGCTGCGCCCATGGCTCTCTGGCTTCGTGCGGTTTCCTGCTATCCAGCAGGTGTTGCTGTTCCCACAAAAGGGTCCAAAGAGACACTCCCATTCCTCTCTGAATTTCATGGCCTTATACAGACAACATCAAATTCTTCCGCCCTGCGCTGAAAACCAGCCTCCAACCTAAGATGGATAAGATTAAATCAATAAGTCAGCTAACAATAGCTCTGAGAACCATGCCATCCTTAGCCTGGGGCCAAGAAGACATTGCGGTTTTTTGACCCAGTCAATTCAATCCAAGGAACATGAAGCGAAAACAGAGCAGCATCAAGACAGGGATCGCTGGGTGTTCCTGCAAAGCTGAGACTCAGTGCCGATTTGACCAGACCTCTCTCCCACAGATACCAGGACGCCTCACGCCATTCTCTGTGGGAAGGCCTTCCCTCACCACTCTAGCTATAAAAGGACCCCGCCCGACTCCCTGGCCACTTACCCTTCTTTATTAAATTTTGTAGTGTTTATCACTACCCGACAACATAGTATGTGCTTATCTGTTTGTTTGTATTTTCACCTCCCCTTTCTAGACTGTGACCTCCCTGAGGGCAGGGAGTTCGCTTTGTTTGCTTCTGTGTGCAGATTCTAAGGCGATCCAATCCATATTTGCTGAATACTCAGGATCCCAGGAAAGTGCACTAAACATCAAAGACAGCTGAGACAACCATTGACACTATTCACAAAAGCTAAGGACGTGCACTTGCACCACCCACACGCTCACGCCCACTTCCTGTAGTAGAAAGGTGACGTCACAGCACTACCGCCACCTAAGATCACTCAGCCGAAAAATCGGTGACGACAGGATCACATGAATGAATAATGGCTGAACAAGTCAGTCTGTGCCAGAATAACCTAACAGGGCCACAGTACTCAATATATACCAATTATCTCAGAATTTAGGGTACAGTGAAGATTAGATTATGTTAGTGCTTTTAGGGACCTTATGTCCCTATCACTTTCAAATCAGAATCTGTGCCCCCCCCCACTTCTTCCCCTACTCCAACCCCACTGGAAAGAAATCCCACCAGATACTATCCATAAGATTACAGTAACATGAAGAAAGCTGGCAAAGAAGGTGGATGGTGCCCTGGCCAGGCGGCTCAGTTGGCTGGAGCACCATCCTGTCCAACAAACTTGTGGGTTTGATTCCCAGTCAGGGCACATACCTAGGTTGTGGGTTCAATACCCATAGCTAGTTGGGGTGCATATGGGAGGCAACCAGTTGATGTTTCTCTCTCACATCAGTGTTTCTTCCTCTTTCGCTCTATCAAGTCAGTAATATATCCTAAGGTGATAATTAAAAAGAAGGAAAAAGGAAGAAGGAAGGAGGAAGGAGGGAGGAGGGAGGAGAGTAACAGAGTCTCATACACAGAGTTGATGTGAAAATTAAGTGACTTACTATTCGGGAAACAGCTTAGACCAGTACTGGGCACAAAGCAGAGGTTAACTAACTTAGCTACCACGTTCAATATCATTACCACCACCACAAACATATGAACGCACTCAGACACACTTTAACATGATTCCAGGTAGTACTCATCCTCAAAAACATAGAAAAAACTAGTGTGTCCTTTTATTAAAATCTAAAAAAACAGGTGAGACTAGGTAGTGTGTCTTAATCCATTTCCAATTCTACTGGGAACCTCTGGGGGACAAAGGAGCGCCAGTCAGTAAGAGGTAAATGCAAGCTTGTAAGGAAGATAAGCAAGTATCATTTAATACACTCGAAATGCATGGCTGACGTAAATAAGACCATCCACTGGACGCACTCAGCATGGCATCAAGCACACATAGGAGACCCGATGAAGGGCAGCTCTTATTACTGCTGGGACCATGAATGTCAAGGCAAAGCAGGATGTCACACACTTCCAGGCCTGAGTTCTCTCCCACTCCACACAGCCTCGAAATCTATAGATTCAACACCACCCTGCCTGCCCTGTGCGCGCGCGCACACACACACACGCACGCACGCACGCACGCACGCACGCACACCTGCCTTTCTGCTTTTATCTTTTTGATATGTTAATGTTCTGCATGAGACGCAATTTAAATGAAAATGCTCTACCGCTTATACGAGCCTGGGTGGCCCTGGTAAGTCCAACCTACTACTTTTCCAGATAAAAAAACAGGTCTAGGGGTCCAGCAGTCTGAGATCTCGCCACGGCCAGCGCCATGGCCAGCACCACAGCACAACTGAAACTCCGAGCTCCGGAAACCTCTCTGCACCATGTCCACCGTGGATGGTGCACCAAAGCTCCACCAGAACCAGCATGGAAACCCGGGTTTTCCCTGATTAAAGCTGGACTCACTCATCTACATCCCACGACTCACCATGATTTCTCTCTGTTCTTCCAGGTTCTTCAAAAAATTAGAAAATTCACGCAAGGAAGCATCTGTCAAGAGAGAATAATGATTACTTGGCAGACACAGCAAAGGACAGCAAGCCCGAATCCCACCCTCACGTACCTATGCAGCGTTCATCATCGGTCTCCGCGTCCCCGATGAACTCAAATTTAAAGTCTCTGAGTGAGTGGGCAAACTTCCGCTGGGCTGCCGAGAGACCTGGAGAGAAAGACTTGATCATGACTTGGGTCCTTGTTGTACAGTCCAAGCTGAGACGACAATTATTCCTCCTACCGGCAACACAGCTGAGGAACTCTCCGCCCCTCAACCGGCCAAGAGGCACGACTCGACTACTGCACCACGGGGTCCATCTCCCTCTATCTGGTGCCCCCGCGGGCTTGCTTGTCTTCCACTCTCCATCCCGGCAGAGGGCAGGTGCTGGGGAGCTGTTTACTGCCTCCACAGCCTCTTCTTCCTCAGAGATCTCCCAGCTTCCCCTTGCTCCCTAAGGCACTTTCCCATTCTCTGCTTCATCAGGTCAGTGCTTGACTGATTTCCTCGGGCTGTGAACACACACCCCCTGGATAGTGTCTTCCAGGGCTCAGTGAGATCTGGCTGGCTGCCACGGTTTCAGATAGAAGCGTCTCAGGTAAAGATTGGCACTTACAGAACAGTCATGGGGTTGTAAGGTACTGCATAAAAGATGCAGTCAATAATACTGCAATAACTAGGTGTGCTGCCAGGTAGGTACTGGAAGTATTGGAGAAAACACTTGGAACATATAAGATTGTCTAACCACTGTGCAGTACACCTGAAACTCATGCAAAAATACCATATGTTGTCGTGTATAATGTGCACCCATGATTTTTGTACACATTATACATAAGATTATTGTACTTAACAATTGGTATGTGGTTGTTATCTCCATGTGTGATGCACATCCTTATTTTTCCCTCAAATCCTTGGGCAAAAAGAGTGCATTAAACACAGCAAAATATGGTAATATTGGATGTCGGTGCTTTGCTTTTCAAGCAGACTCTGCAGCTCTCCCAGCAAGAGACAGAGTCTATCTTCCAACCCCTTGACCCCGGACAGGGCTTGCGGCCAACAGAACGTACAGAATGTTTCCCTCTGCTAATTCAGAGCCTCTACCTCAGAAAGTTTTCTACATCTTTGCCCGACTCCGTGTAAACAAGTACAAGCAAACCTCCTGGTTGATGAAAGACGTGTGACTTAGTCACCGTATTACTGTCCCATCAGTCAGATGGGACAGAAGCAGAGTTCCCCACACAGGTAGGAAGCAGTCAAGACAAGACCGTACTGTTAAATTTTTAAATATTTAAAGACATAGAAAGGCCCTGATCAGTGTGGCTCAGCTGGTCAGGCATCAGGGCACATGCCTGGGTTGTAGGCCAGGTCCCTGGTAGGTACATGCGAGCGGCAACCAGTCACTGTTTCTCTGTCACATGGATGTTTCTCTCCCTCACTTTCTCCCTCTGCTCCCGTCTCTAAAAAAAATTAAACTTTAAAGAAAAAATAAAGACTCAAAAAAGGAAGATAAGCACACAGAGAGAAGGTATAAATAGCTACTACACAATGAGGTAAGGCAGAACCCCAAGAAAAAACTGGGAAAAACACTGGAATCGGCCCTTCAGGAAAACAAGTGAAGGAGATACACCTGGCCTACATGTAACCATATCAAAAGATGCTCGGACTCATGAGTGATAATAACAGTAAAAAGTGAAACCTCGAGATGCCTGACACACCCATCAGACTGGCAAAACCTCCTAAGTCTGGAAACCTCAAGTGTCAGTGGGAGCCTGTCCGTGCAGCGACAGATAGCCTCAGACCCGGCCGGTGACGGGTGAGAGCGAAGGTGGGCAGGATTACTCGTTATGGAGTTTGGCGTTGTCTATCCAACCTGGGGACACCCTACAACCCAGACTTTGTTTTCCTAAGTAAATTCCCAAGATAAACTCTAGCGAATGTGCACTTTGTAGACTAGAAAATCCACAGCCCTGATCACAATAGTAGGCAAAATAATAGCCAAACACGAAAAAACCAATACCAATCAACAGAACAAGCAGCTAAGTTACACTACAACGAAAAATTCACAGAGCAACACAAATGAATCTCAGTTTGGAAGGAGCCAGTCACAGAAGAATACACACAGTAAGGTTCTTTTACATAAAATTCAAGACAAGCCACACTACACTTAAGTTTGGGTCAAAGTACAGATGGGTCACTAAGTCACAGAACAGCAAGTGAATGGCTATCTCCAAAGTCACACGGTGTTTCACACGGGAGCCGGTCAGCGCAACGCAGTCCCGAAGCTACACGGGGAATAAGAGGAGAATTTCTGGTGCTGGGTCTGTGGACATTTGCTTTATTATTCTTCTTTAAAATGCACATTTATTTCATATACTTCTGTATTCTTGCCAAAATTTTCACATTAATAGAAAAATGTTTAAATCATATAAAAGCAGAGCCTAGCTATTTATAGGCCGCTCAAAAATCACTCAGTTTCTATTGTAATCTAGGCAACCACAGGACTGTTCTCTCAGGTCTAGCCACACTGGCCTGTTCTTGGTTCACACAGGCCAAAGTCATTCCAGCCCGAGAGCTCATGAACTGGCGGCTCCCTCCCCACCCCCACTGCCACCTGACGGGTCCTTCTGAACACTGATGGCTCAGCTAAGAACCTTCCCTCCAACCATCCTCTCTAAAATAAAGTCACCCCTCTGTCCTAAGCCCCTCTCTCTTCCTTGGCCATTTTATTTTCTTCATAGCACTTATTACCTAACATAACCTTATTTAGCCACCAATGACTTGGGGCTATTCTCCCCTCTAGAATATCGCGCCCCTGAGGCAGCCCCTGCGGCCTGCGGCTCCCCATGTCCCCGACATGGGGCCCACGGCAGGCTCCTTCTGTCGTAATTTATATCAGGCACGTATTTCCACACATTAATAGTGTGTGGGTTTATTATTACTTGTAATATATATTACAAATATATTTATTTGTAATATATATATTTGTGCACATGTACATATTTATGTTTATATTTACTTACACGTATCATATATATATTATTTTTTATATTACCAATGCTGGTATAAATTATATTCTCCCTCTTGAGCTGTTTCCTTTGAGCATTTTATCCAAAATACCCAGTCAGGTCACCTTAAAGACCATGGTTCTATGATCAATGTAGGAAGCTCTATGGAAAGTTAAAACTTAAATACAGCAGCTTTGAATATTTATTTCATAATTTCTAATTCTGTGAGTGGAAATGTTTATGACATAGCAAATTAAATCTGGGTTCGATTACATAGCTATTATATTTCTTCTCTGTAAGAAGCATGCTTTTGTCTAACTTCTGCACTAAGTATTGTAGTCACATCAATTCATTGTAGAATATAACCATTTTCCTCACTCTTTCCCTTTTTGTTGACTTCCTTCTGGTGTTATTAGAGTTCATTATGCAAAACTTTTATTGTTTAAAAATTTGACTATCCCAAACTCCATTCCTTTTAATCATCACGAATTCATCATCTTTCCACTGCTTAGCATGTTTTGAATGTATTTCTTCTCACATGTAGTTTACACTTTCACAGGTAACTACTGCTGTGCTCAACGTAATATAAAATCATAAGACAGGTTACTAGGTTTACTAGAGTCTATAAAATAAACACAAAGTTGCTTTGTGCAAAGGATAATGCTTGTTCCAATACCACTGCACATGAAACTCACCCAGTCTGAATTCACTAGTCACAAAGGCTGGTAATATCCCTCCTACTGAGCAAAGATGGGGGGTGGAGGGCACTAGTCAGAACAACCTTTACTGAATGTTTAATCACTTACGTCATTTACTTTCATAAGTGGTTTATACAGTTGTATCATTTACTTGACTACTGTATCATTTACTTTCTATAATCAGCCTCCAGGTAGGTGTTGGTGCTACCTTATCTGAAGTAGGTTCAGAGACAGATTAGAGACTTGATCAAGGTCACAGACTTTTTAGACTGCTGGTAATAAGTCCTGGAGGCAAAGAATAGTTTTCTCAAGCTTCCACAAATGTCCTTTCTATTACATCATTCCAACTTTCAAGAGATTTCACATCATTCCCAGGTCCTTCACCCAGAGGTCGACTAGTTATCCAAATGGTTCAAATGCAGAATTCTAACCAAATGGAAATTCACTTGCCTGGGCCTCCGTGCCCAGCCCCCATCCTCTCCCGCCCACTAATTCCGGAATACTCTGAAGCACACTGCTCTCCTGAAACACCTTCGAAGCTGACGTGACTCCGAGTAGTGGACAGGACCAAGCCAGAGTGTGCACAGAAACCACAGCTAACTTGAAAGACTTCATGTAATCTGCACTCTTCAAATGAGCTGGCCACTTCAAAATCTCCCACACCGGAATTTTTAGATCCTCAGTCTGTAGACAAATGGGAGAGAAAACCACAACCAGGGCCTTTGCAGGGCAGGAGCAGTTTGAGACATGAGGCATTATAACTGGGACCTGCTGAGCTTGAGAAGGAAGACACCACATGCAAAGATCCGAGCCCAGCTGCAATCCATATTCACAGAGCCTCCAGACACTGGCCAAGCTGCCGCTGCTCACCCTTGATGACTGTGCACGAGGAAACTACTTCTCATAGCACAGCCACCTATTGAGGGTTTACAGTTAAGACCGTGAACTATCAGACACATAGAGGCGTTTGGAGGTGAATGGGGTACCTTTCTACTGAGGTTGCTCTGCTCGAACTGAATTTCTAGGCAGACCCCTGGGTATGCTCTAGCCCCTGAAGTTACAAGCCTGACCTGCCTAATAAGGTTGTCATCTCCTACAACTTTCCACCCCATCAACCAAAGCAGTAATGGGGACATTCGAGGACATGTTTTTGAATTCTGGGCTTGAACAGGAAAAATGACCCAGCAAATAAACGCACCTTTCTCACACATTACATTTAAAGTACAGGATTCTTCACAAACCATACTGGATTCTGAAACCTTTTTAAAACTAGGCAAACTGCACCTAGCAGCTCACATTCCTTTGCATGTAGAGACCTAAATTACTAGATTAGCAACTATGCAAAAATTCTGCCAAGGGAACCTCTGCCACCATTCTGCACATCAAAACATGTCGCAGAATTCTTCAATGTTTTATTTAGAGAGAAGCAGGGTACGGACTCTGAGAACTTAATATCCTTCACGCC